TTCAATCTTTGTTACGATCGTCAATCGTGTACCAAGGGTCTCGTTCCAGTATACCAAAATCAGTATAGCTATCCTTCTTCTAACACAGCAACGAAATTTCACAATAAGTGACGAGATCGAGTACTACAAAAGAAAATTTCTTTTTTTCCTGTTGTTTGTTTCGATGTACTGAATCGAAAATTCCTCAAAGTTTAAGACTATATATATGGACTTTATATTATTTATATTTTATATATACGTTATATTATATATAATTATATAAATAAATAAAACAATTTTCCTTCGATTAGTTTTACTCAACTCATGTCATGAGTTGATCAAGAAATCTGTTGATTTGGAATCAACAGGTTGGGTAGATGTCACAGATGATGAATTGATTTTTTACCTATGTAACTATATTTTTCTTTTTGTTTGTCCGTAATAATTGATTCATGAATCAATTCTTTTCCATTGTATCTTTCAAGTGGTCTTTTTTGCTTCTTTTCCTATTTTTATCTAAAAAAAAAAAAATGGAAACTTAGGAAAGTGCTTTATAAACATATGTATAAAAAGAATATATTTCATCTAGTTTCCTTATGTCACTCTAACCAGTTATTTCGGTTTTCTACTAGCGGTTTTTAACTATAACCGCAGGTATTTTTATCAGTCTGAATAAGATACGACTTATTTGATTTGCAATTTTGAGAGAAATTTGGAAATTGTAGATATTCTATAGTTCCTTATCATATTTCCAATTCTTGGTCATTGAGATTCATGGTCAATATAAATTCATATTTAAGGATCGATATTACCCCCACCTTTTTTACTTTCAACCAAACTCAAATGATTGAGTTTTTCTATTTGGAATCGTGTTAGGTCTAATTCCTATTACTTTGGCTGGATTATTTGTAACGGCCTATTTACAATACCGACGTGGCGATCAGTTGGATTTTGATTTAGTACTGTCTCTTTTGTTTATTGACTTCCTATTTTTTTGTTTGAATCCTAATTCACAGGAGATCAAATTAACACTTTTGATTAGACTTAGACTGTTATCCCATTATTTTAGTCTCATTCTCAGAAGGATGGTATCACGCTCTGTAGGATTTGAACCTACGACATCGGGTTTTGGAGACCCGCGTTCTACCGAACTGAACTAAGAGCGCTTTCTTTTCCTAAATAATTTGATGTGATGGCAATATATCTTGCATGCATGCATAAAAACTAAATATGGAGAACTATTCATATTGAGTATGTATGTACAATTTCAATTGCTCAAAATTGATCTCTTGTTACTGCTGATATGATATTAGGGATAGGGATGACAGGATTTGAACCTGTGACATTTTGTACCCAAAACAAACGCGCTACCACGCTGCGCTACATCCCTTTACATCAGTTTCCATTGTCATTCTAAAGAATTTTTGTCTTATTTTCCACATTTTTCCATTATCTATATCCTGCCATTTTGTTTGTTTTTTTACTTTCTTATATCGATCGTAGAAATAAGATATCGAATCAAATATTCTTATAGAATATTTATATTCAATTAATGAAAACAGAGAATATATAGAATCTATAAATAATAAGATAGAAAAAGTATAATAACAAGAACAAAGAATATACAAATAATATAGAAAATAGAATTGATATATGAAAAATAGAATAATTTCAAATATTATTTTAATATTTCATAGAATTCATAATTTCAAAAAATATATAATAATATAGTTATTAGAAGATAACAATTTGAATAAATAAAATTAAGAATATAAAAATAGTACTCTATAAAAAAAGATCTAATTCATTGTTGTACAATTCAAATTGGATTCGGACTTCCCCCGAGAAATCCAAGTGGGTTTTATTAGAAAAAAAAACATTGGATCATATTCCTATATGTAATTCTGTATTATTATGTATTACAAATTACAAGAAAAAACGAAGGAGGATTTGAAATGCGAGATCTAAAACATATCTCTCTGTGGCACCAGTGGCAAGTACTTTATGGTTCGCGGCTCTAGCAGGTCCTCTTGATAGAAATCAATCGTTTATTCCCGGATGCATTGACATTCCCATTTTTTTTGAATTCTAGTTATTGGCACGGGAAGGGGGTGACGAAGATTAGAGATCCAATAAAATATCTGTGATTAAATCCCTCTTCGTTCGTTTTTTTTTTCGAATTATACTAGAATAAGTTCAAAAAAAAAAAGAGGAAATTAAGAAAGGTGGGATTTGGCCTCAGTTGAAATTTGGAATTTTTCCCACGTTTCGTTTCAATGGAATTGAATTAATACTTCAATTCCATTGCTATTCTTAATTATTTAAGAGTAAGACCAGAATGGAATTGTTAGTGTAGGGCAATAATATCATACAAGATATTTCAATAAAAACTGAAATACTAGACTCTGGATTCGAAATCTATTTCGAAAGCATTGTAGTAGTGAATTATTACTGTACTATATAAAATTAATTGGAACAAAATATTTCCATAATTTGATTTTTGAATTATCAACTTATCTTTTTTTTCGTTCCTTTTTTCTTCTTCCCTTCGAATCTTAAAATCGAAGAGTTAAGTGAATAAAAAAACCAAAGGAGGTTTATGGCTAAGGGTAAAAATATCCGAATAACTGTTATTTTAGAATGTACTAGTTGTGATAAAAAGAGTGTTAATAAGGAATCTAGAGGTATTTCTCGATATATTACTCAAAAGAATCGACACAATACGCCTATACGCCTAGTCGATTGGAATTGAGAAAATTCTGTCCCTTTTGTTGCAAACATATGATTCACGCAGAGATCAAGAAATAGAGAAAATGGATTACTTGTGTGTCACCCTTAAGGAGGTAAATTGAAAAAATACATAAAAATTAATTATATAGATACCAGATAAATTATCTTATCTATATTATATAAATAACATTCTATAACATAAAATTATATACATAGATCATTATATAGCATATATTTTCCAAATATATTACAAAAAAAAATAAGAATATAACTAAAACAAATCCTTTTTTTATAAAACAAACGGGATTTTCGGTATAGGAATAAACAAACCATGGAGAAATCTAAGCGACTGTTTGTTAAATCGAAGCAATCAATTCGTAGGAGTTCGCCCCTAATCCAATCTGGGGATCGAATTGATTATAAAAACTTGAGTTTACTTTTCGAATTTATCACGCTACAAGGAAAAATTATACCTAGATGTGTGAATAAATTGACCTTAAAACAACAACGATTGATTACGATTGCTATAAAACAAGCTCGTATTTTATCTTTGTTACCTTTTGTAAATTCGTCACCTTTTGTTAAAAATGCAAAAAAAAAATATGAAAAAATCAAGTCGATTACTAGAGCTACTCCTCCTGTTCTTAAAAAAAAAAAAAAATAGAGTTACGTTACTTCAATTAATTTAATAATTAATTGAATCTAAACTCAAAGTTTATGCGGATTGGTAGTTTTTTTTTTGTTTTTTGAGCGTGGTTGATTATTTCTTTTTCTAATTCATATGAATTCTATTTTATCATACAAATCTATTTTATTCTACCACCTTCCCGGAGTTAAGTCTCCGGGGAATTTTTATTTTTGAATGATATCGTTGGCAATCATAAAAAGACAATTCCCCTTTAATCTAGCTATTTGTGCAACTATTTTACGATTAAGAAGCAATTGATTCTTGTACAGATTATACATTAAATTACTATAGCGATAGTATATTTTTTCTTTATTCTGGCTTATTATTGCATTTATTCGACTGATCCACAAACTGCGAAAGTCCCTTTTTTTCTTATCTCTATCCCGTTGAGACGAAACCAAAGCTTTTATTCTCTGTTGGAAAATAATTCGAATAAGTTTTGAATGAGCTCCGCGAAAGCCTGATGTAAAGGAACTCAATTTTGTCCTCCGTTTTCTCGCGATAGATCCTCGTTTAATTCTGTTCATTGGATAAATGAGACTTTGATTAATAACTATTTAATTTTTTTCTTTCAGTTATTCTTTTATCCTTTCTAGTCTATTACGAACAACATGGATTCTTCCAATGTGGAAAATATAAATTCCAATGGCTTTTGCTACTATAACCTTCCCAACCACTATTTTTTTTTTTCGTTTTTTCTAAGTATAAGTATTTTAACTCTTAATAATAACTTCTATTGATACTAGGTATTCAAAAAAACATAGTAAATAAAATAGAAATAAACAAAGAAATCGTGGGTTCCATCGTTTCTATGATTACTTGTTAAACGGTGAGGTCCTCTCTATACACCGGAGCCCCTTCCTTCATTTTGATTCAATCAATGTTATTGTGAACTTGTACAGTTCACACTTCTTAGCTCTACCCATTGAATATATAGTAATAGGTCTTTCACAATAAAATCTAGCTATACAGTAACGGTATTTAAGTATGAAGATTAGCTGGGTAGTTGACCCTCTTAGTCCGTTATTGCTAAAATTAGGGCATAATTTGTCTTTATTTCAAAGAGGATTTTTCCCGCTTAATGGATCACTTTTTGTTACCAATGGGAAAAGTATATTTCATCTTAAATTCAAAATTAAGGTAATTTGGTTTGCACCAATTGAGAAAGCATAAATTTTATACACAATAGAATTATATATATACAATTCTTATTAATTGAATATATTTTTTAATTTCAGTATATGATCTAAACGAGTCGCACATACACCTTAATACATGTTCCTCGGCGTTGAGGGCATCCCCGAAGAGCGGGAGATTTTGTTACAGTCCGGATTGGCTGTCTTGTGTTTCTAATAAGTTGGTTTATAGTTGGCATGGGGAGTCATATACATAATGAGCTGGTTTGGATCAATCCTAACCTGATAATTTTCAAATTGATAAGGACTCTATAAAATCGGGTGATTAAAAAGATAAAAGACAACATCAAATTATAATTCTGCATTTAGTCGGTACGTTAGGAAAGAAGCATCAGAAATAGTAGAAAGAAAATATTCTCATTTATTAGGATCAAAAAGGGAATAAAGATTTTATGCAAATTTTGGATTTACAAAGAATCCGCTACTGTATCAATTATTCCGTAGGCTTGGGCTTCTTCTGCTGACATAAAAAAATCCCTTTCCATGTCTTTATATATCTGCCAGGAAGGTTTGCCTGTTCTTTGGCAATAAATATTTATCATAGTTGTTTGCATTTTCATTATTTCCGTCACTTCCATCATAGATTCGCCCGTGTTTCCCTCATAAAAAGAACTAGCAGGTTGATGCAGCATTACCCTGAGAGTATACTATAATTAAGGTTTATTTCTCTTAATCTTACCGTAAAAAAAAAGAATGAAGAGATAGAAAAAAGAACTTCAATTTCTTTTTCGCCGTACAGGCAAGCCTCTTTTTTTCTTTATTTTTTATATAGCATACGGCTCTACTTTCAATTTTTCATTTTTTTGACCCTTCATTGAAAAAATACAAAAAAAAATATACCGGGTTTATCAGACCCAGATCAGTAAAGAATCTAATAACCACCCTTCTTTTTTTTTGAGAATCTTTTTTAAAGACTATGATGATTCCGTTGCTATCTTATTTCTTCTAGTTTTTGATTCAGCAATCCCAAAGTTTCTTTTTTTCAAATAAGTCCAAAAAATTGTAACACTAAAAGAGGCTCCGATAGATCAGATAAAATAGTAAATACCCCTTTTTCACACTACTCTTTCGATATATAATCTAATGGTTTTGAAAAAAAAAAAATTATTTTTGCATATCGAACTCAAAGTGCCATGCTTTTTTGACTTAATACTGGCGTAGACATAGTCTTCTTTTTTTTTTCTACAAATAAGAATCAGTGGCGCCAAGCATGAGGGAATGCTAGACGTTTGGTAATTTCTCCTCCTAACAAAATAAGAGATCCCATTGAAGCGGCTAATCCTACGCATACTGTCTGTACTTCTGCTTCTACAAATTGCATAACATCAAAAATTGCCATTCCAGATAGAATCCCTCCGCCTGGAGAATTTATAAACATATACAAATCTTTGTTCTTGTTCTCTAAACTTAGATATACCATTATACCGACGAGTTGATTTGATATTTCACTGCTAACCTCTTTACCTAAAAAAAGTAGTCTTTCGTGAAAAAGTCGATAGTATAAGTCAATCCAAGAAGCTTCATCCTCGCCGGGAACATCAAAGGCTACTTTGGGAACACCTACCGGCATAAACTGGAATGGAAATTGTCGACCGGATTTTGCTTTGGTGTGAGAACATCCGGAGACAGAATGAGTTGATTTTGTTCAAAATCATTTTTATTTCGCCAAATAACATCAAAAAAGAAGACTAAAGGAAAGTTTTGATGAATAGGTCGTTCTTGGATATGTCTCTACTGCTATTCTTGTTACGTGTTACTGGACGACTAATGAATTGAATTCTTTAAAATGAAAGAGGGGATTCTAACAAAAAGGATCTCCGACAACCAAAAAAAGTATATTTCTATATTTCCTATCGAATTGAATTCTAGAAATATTCTTCTTTGCTTCATGAATTATATTATTAGAAACCAATTAATCCTATTCACATTTTCATTGATCCTCAGTTTATAGTCCGAAGCTAATAATGAATGTAAAGAACCCTCAGCTTCTAGTTCTAGTATAAGAAAGTCTTCTATATATATAGAAAGCTCTATCTTTGTAATTAAACCAAGAAAGACCCGTAGACTTTTTTTTTGTGTCTAATACACGAACAACGAATCTTTCTTTTGACGAAAAAAGGGATTTGTTGTTCTTGTATTAGTATCCAGTGTCTGCATTCACTGATATAAACACGCATATAAAAAAAAAAAACTAAACCCCACCACCATTGCCATTGCGTATTGTTACTTATCGGATATAGAATAGATCTGCTTCTTTTTGTTCCAACGAATAGAATGTTCCTTTGTTTCTAAAAAACTAGAACAAATATAAATTATTTCATGCGATATAATTTACTAATAAGGGGAAGGGCCATAGCATAGTTTTTTACAGTGCAATAAAGTTACATAGTGTCTATTTTTTGTTGATATAAGGGGTATTTTCATGGGTTTGCCTTGGTATCGTGTTCATACCGTTGTATTAAATGATCCCGGCCGTTTACTTTCTGTCCATATAATGCATACAGCTCTGGTTGCTGGTTGGGCCGGTTCGATGGCTTTATATGAATTAGCAGTTTTTGATCCCTCTGACCCGGTTCTTGACCCAATGTGGAGACAGGGTATGTTCGTTATACCCTTCATGACTCGTTTAGGAATAACCAATTCGTGGGGTGGTTGGAATATCACAGGAGGCACTATAACGAATCCGGGTATTTGGAGTTACGAAGGTGTGGCCGCGGCACATATTGTGTTTTCGGGCTTGTGCTTTTTGGCGGCTATTTGGCATTGGGTCTATTGGGATCTAGAAATCTTTTGTGATGAACGTACTGGAAAACCTTCTTTGGATTTACCAAAAATATTTGGAATTCATTTATTTCTTGCAGGGGTGGCGTGTTTTGGTTTTGGCGCCTTTCATGTAACAGGATTATTTGGTCCTGGAATATGGATATCCGATCCTTATGGACTAACAGGAAGGGTACAATCTGTAAATCCCGCATGGGGTGTGGACGGTTTTGATCCTTTTGTTCCGGGGGGAATAGCCTCTCATCATATTGCAGCAGGGACATTGGGCATATTAGCGGGTCTTTTCCATCTTAGTGTGCGTCCACCTCAACGTTTATACAAAGGATTGCGTATGGGAAATATTGAAACCGTCCTTTCCAGTAGTATCGCTGCTGTATTTTTTGCAGCTTTTGTTGTTGCTGGAACTATGTGGTATGGTTCAGCAACTACCCCGATTGAATTATTTGGTCCTACTCGTTATCAATGGGATCAGGGATACTTCCAGCAAGAAATATATCGAAGAGTTGGTGCTGGGCTAGTCAAAAATCAAAGTTTATCAGAAGCTTGGTCTAAAATTCCTGAAAAATTAGCTTTTTATGATTACATCGGTAATAATCCGGCAAAAGGGGGTTTGTTTAGAGCGGGCTCAATGGACAATGGAGATGGAATAGCGGTTGGTTGGTTAGGGCATCCTATCTTTAGAGACAAAGAGGGGCGTGAACTTTTTGTACGTCGTATGCCTACTTTTTTTGAAACATTTCCGGTTGTTTTGGTAGACGGAGACGGAATTGTTAGAGCGGATGTTCCTTTTCGAAGGGCAGAATCAAAGTATAGTGTCGAACAAGTCGGTGTAATATAGTGATCCTGCTACTGTGAAAAAATATGCTCGACGTGCTCAATTGGGTGAAATTTTTGAATTAGATCGTGCTACTTTAAAATCAGATGGTGTTTTTCGTAGCAGTCCAAGGGGTTGGTTATACTTTTGGACATGCTTCGTTTGCTCTGCTCTTCTTTTTCGGGCACATTTGGCATGGTGCTAGAACCTTGTTCAGAGATGTTTTTGCTGGTATTGATCCAGATTTGGATGCGCAAGTAGAATTTGGAGCATTCCAAAAACTTGGAGATCCAACTACAAAAAAACAGGGAGTCTGATAGAAATAGGTTTGTTCCTTTTCGATTCGACTTTTTTTGTTGTTATTTGAATTTGATATAGGGAACTAGAGAAATATTGATTTCAATCATTCCATTTTGTTTTACTCTGGTTCTTTCTTTTTCTTTATCCAGGAGATAATTCCCCCAAAACAGGTATGAAAGCTATAATTGTAAACCACGATCAAATCTATGGAAGCATTGGTTTATACATTCCTCTTAGTCTCGACTTTAGGAATCATTTTTTTCGCTATTTTTTTTAGAGAACCCCCTCAAGTTCCAACTAAAAACACAAAATGATTTTTAATTATCTCAATTGAAGTAACGAGCCTCCAATATTACGATATTGGGGGCTCATTACTTCAACTAGTCCCCATGTTCTTCGAATGGATCTCTTAGTTGTTGAGAGGGTTGCCCAAAAGCAGTATATAAGGCATACCCAGTAAAACTTACAATTAAACCGGATATAGAGATGGCAATTAGGGTTGCTGTTTCCATGATTATAGAATATCAAGACTACAATGGATCTATAGGGTACGATCCTTTATCTACAGCGGAATGGTATACAAAGTCAACAGATCTCAATAAAAAAAAAGATATATAGGATTTATGGCTACACAAACCGTTGAGGGTAGTTCTAGATCTGGTCCAAGACGAACTGTTGTAGGAGATTTATTGAAACCATTGAATTCAGAATATGGTAAAGTAGCTCCGGGGTGGGGAACTACCCCTTTGATGGGGATTGCAATGGCCCTATTTGCGGTATTTCTCTCTATTATTTTAGAGATTTATAATTCGTCCCTTTTACTGGACCAAATTTCTATGAATTAGAGAATTAGATTCACAAGAACCAACTAACTAGCTTTTCAATCGAAAAGTCAAGTTTAGCATTTAAATCGTTAATTTTTAGCCCATTCCATTTTGATTTGGTAGTTCGACCGCGAAACTTCTTTGTTTCTGTATTTCCGGAATATGAGTGTGTGACTTGTTATAATGGATCCTATTGATAGTACAGAACAGAAAATGGATACGTCATCTTATCTTGATAGATGGCTTTCCCCCGTCAGATATTTATTCTAGTATCTGGAGCACGGAATATAGAAAATAAATAGATTCTAAAGTGTTAGAACTATGATTCATACTTCATATTTATATTGATATTTAGACCTCGCAACCGGACGAAAAAAAATGAAAGAATTATAAGAATTCATTTAGAAAAAGAAATGGAATTTTATTCTTTAAAACTGCCACCGCTTATCATTTCTTTGTCTTTTTTTTTTTCATTCTATCTATTAATTGAATAAATGATGATCCAGCAGTTCTTACTCAGGGAATTTATGGACTTCGATTAAAGGTTTTTTGGGGAAATCATCGTGGTTCTGGTATGAATCTCAGGTTTTTAAATTGATTCTATAGGGTCTTAACAAGAAAATTCTTATTAATCATAAAAAAAAAACAGCAGTAAAATCTTATTACATACACAATACAAAAAAAATGAAGTAAATAATAGAATATTCAAGAGGCCGGTAAGGATCAAGAGAAAAGACGAGTGAGCCGACTTGAAATTTTGACATTATAAACACTAAGAATAGCTTTTGGATTTCTATTTTTTTTTATCTTCAAAAAAGACTGGAATAATAGGATTAAGTGAAAAAGTTTAAGACTTTCTATTACACGTATCCGTTTTCCAAATAACCAGTATTTGAGTATTTTTGTTTGAGCCGTACGAGATGAAATTCTCATATACGGTTCTCAGGGGGGTCCCTTGGTTTACCTATCTCAATAAAGTCTATGATTGGTTCGAAGAACGTCTTGAGATTCAGGCGATTGCCGATGATATAACTAGTAAATATGTACCTCCTCATGTCAATATATTTTATTGTTTAGGAGGAATTACACTTACTTGTTTTTTAGTCCAAGTAGCGACGGGTTTCGCTATGACTTTTTATTATCGTCCAACCGTTACGGAGGCTTTTGCTTCTGTTCAATATATAATGACTGAGGCTAACTTTGGTTGGTTAATCCGATCAGTTCATCGATGGTCAGCAAGTATGATGGTCTTAATGATGATCTTGCACGTATTTCGCGTGTATCTCACTGGTGGTTTTAAAAAACCTCGCGAATTGACTTGGGTTACAGGTGTAGTTTTGGGTGTATTGACTGCATCCTTTGGTGTAACAGGTTATTCCTTACCTTGGGACCAAATCGGTTATTGGGCAGTCAAAATTGTAACGGGTGTACCCGACGCTATTCCTGTAATAGGATCCTCGGTGGTAGAGTTATTGCGCGGCAGTGCTAGTGTGGGACAATCTACCTTGACTCGTTTTTATAGTTTACATACTTTTGTATTACCTCTTCTTACTGCCGTATTCATGTTAATGCACTTTCCAATGATACGTAAGCAAGGAATTTCTGGTCCTTTATAGAGAATATGAATCATAGAGATTTGTAATCAATCATTTTGGGGAGGAGTAATAGTATTTCATTGCTACAAATATGCATTATTTTTCTTTAATAAGACATGTATTTGGATATTTCCCTTCAACTTAACAAAATAAACTGGATTCTTTATTTGACATACACAAATAGTTGAAGGGAACTCTCCGAAAAAAGAATGGATTATGGGAGTGTGTGACTTGAACTATTGATTGGGCCATGCAG